ACCAAAGACGAGTATACTCGTCGTTGGCAATGGGCCTTCAAAAGAGCCTGCATATTATAATATATTTAAAGCAGGACGAGTATACTCGTCCTGGCAGCGAATGGGTTAAGGGCGAGGTAACAGAAGATACAATTCAAAGGAAGTATGATGAACACGACGCCTATAAAAGTAAATTCTTACTGGCAAAGCATTTTGACAGTCGCATTGCTACCAGAAATAATAGAACTTAAAGTGCAATTCAGTCGGATGCAAACACTAGTACGAGTGCGACTTCATCAGAAGTGAGAAAGACATTTAAATTGCCGAAAATCGAATTAGTTAAGTTCAGTGGTAACGTACGCGAGTGGCTTCAGTTTTGGAGTTTATTTAAAAAGATACATGAGAACGCTAATATGGAGAGAGAGGATAAATTCCAATATCTGATTCAAGCAATGGTGCCAGATTCACGCGCTGCTGAACTAGTAAAGAGTTATCCGCCGACGGGAGAAAACTATGAAAGAGTAATCGAGGGCTTAAAGAAGAGATTCGGTCGCGATGATCTCCAAATCGAAGTGTACGTGCGAGAGCTTTTGCAATTAGTACTTCAAAATGCCATGTTGAAGAAAGAAGTACAGCTTTCGAGTTTATATGATAAAATAAAGTCATATTTGAGAGCATTAGAAATACTCGGTGTAGCGACTGATAAGTGTGCGGCAATGCTTTTCCCGTTGGTGGAATCATCATTGCCAGAAGAATTGCTTAGAATATGGCAACGATCGAATAGCACCAATGACTTTAATGAGTCCGTGAGTTCCTCAGATGCTTCAAAAACACGATTAACAAAGTTGATTAAATTTTTAAAGTTAGAAGTACAAAATGAGTTGCGTATTTCAATGGCCGTGAAAGGGTTTAATCTTAGAGAAGAAAGTGAAACAGAACGTTCTAAGAAAACTAAGCCACAGACTACAGGAAAAGACATACCAAGTGCGCGTAGTTTAATTAACAAGGGCAGAGAGGTTGTCTGCATATTTTGTGAAAAGAATGATCACGACAGTGCGAAGTGTACTCAGGCAAAGACTATGTCCCTTGCAGAGAGGCAAGAGGTTGTAAAGAGAAAGCGTGCGTATTTCATTTGTTTAAAAATTGGTCACAATAGGAGATTTT